AATACTTCCTGAAATATTCAGGTTTACAAACTCTCGTATTGTTACCACTTAATTCTGCTCATATACTTATTTAACATGTATTTTTAAACCTTAATTTACACACACACACTTTAACATATGATTGTGGGTTGCATATTGGATTATTACATTATTTATGTTCTTTTGTTAAAGGTAACAACTAAGGGAAAGGGATTGTATATAATTAAAAAGAAAAAAAGAAAAACATGAAAAAAAAAGAAAAAGAAAAAGAAAAAAAAATGATGATAATAAAAATGTAGATAAGTTTGGTTTCGTAGCCTCCCTAACCTAAGCAATTAAGTCCGAAGGGGTGTTTTAACACCTAATACCCTAAAGTCAACTGACTTGGGAGCTATTGGCCCAACGCTTGTTACATGGGTTGAGGAGAAAAGCTTAAGGGAATCAAACATTGCACTATCTACATATCAGTATCTGCGACCCGAGTTACTAAGCTCGTAGGGGTGTCTTAACACCTAATGCCCTAAGACCAACTGGTCTGGGAGTCATTAGCTGAAAGCTCGTTACATGGGTTAAAGATGCATGATGTTTTTAAAGTATATGTATATAGAGTTAAAAAAAAAAAAGACAAAAATAGTAATCCCAACCCAAGGAAGTTAACCTTAAACATTAGAACAAAAATTTTGTTTTCTTCCAAGAAAAGCCCCATAATTATGTGTTGATACATTGAGCACAAAAGAAAGGTTTATTAATATCTTGTTAAGAGGTATTGAGCAGATATATAAATTTAATGAGAGTTTGTTTATCTGGATAGATTAATGGAAGTTAAATGATGAATACCTTGCTTTGTGGAATTTGCAAATTGTTTTTCTATTTTACGCTTTGATTACTAGGGACTAGTAATAAGCTGGTTGGGGGGTGTGATTAGTACTTAAAAGTGCATTTTTATCATGGTTTTATATCATCATTTTGCACTTGAAGTATCAATAACTCCTTAACTAAAATATGTTTTATAATAATGTATCTAATAATATAAGATACCTATAATTTGTGGTAAATGTCTATTTTTAATGCAGGTCTATCACATAAATGAAAGGATTGATTGATGACTTGAAGAACTTAAATTGCAAGGATAAAGAGATGGCCAAACTTAGAAAAGAGATGTCGGTGCAATCCAAACCGGAACACTGTTCGGTAATTGGGTCATATCTAGAGCTATATATCTCAGATTTAGGTCCAATTTATATGGATGGAAAGGTAAGACATAGGCCTACAACTTTCATATGGAGCCCAAGATCTAAAAAGGCCATTATCAAGTCCAAATTGTAGCAACAACAAAGAAGCCTGAATCTGTCTTCCAGCCCGAGCACTGTTCGGTATTTTGGCCATATCTGGAGTTTTGATGTTATCAATGACGTTTTGGGCAGACAAGAGAAGATAAGGATTGTCACCAAGTCAAAAGTTGGCCACCCACTTATCAATTAGTCATCAAATCAATAGTTCCTAATTTTGGCCTATAAAAGGAGGCATTTGCCATGCATTTAGGCATCTTGGTGTTCAGATCAAGATCATGCTCTTCCTTTCTCTCTTTGTATTTTTTATGCTTTGTTTTCATTAATATTAAGTTTATGCCTTTCATTTCCTTTCCTTTACTTAGTTAACTTTTATGTTCTTATTTTGTTTATCTATTTTGCTTTCTTTCATTATGTCTAGCTAAGTTAGTTATGTCAAGGTGAAAAGGTTACACTAATGGTGTAAGAATAAGTATAGTGTAAACTTAATATGGACTTTAATGTTTGATACTAACATGTTTTGTATTTGTTATCTTGTTCACTCTTTAATACTTTGCTTGTTAAATGATTAATCTTGATTTATGTTGTATAACACTTGGTACAACAAATGCTTGGCACTTTCATAGCCCATAATGTATGGTATAACCGACACCTGAGCTATGAAAGGAACTTGATTTGTTGTTAACATAAGTTATAATCATGAATGCTTGATGAGATTTACAAGTATTAGCATTAATTGAATAAGATGACTAATGTAATCATGTTAACAATCTATAATCTGATTGGAACCTCCTTTGTGTGTAGGTTTCCAATTGACTAATAAGAGTTTATACTATACTTGTTTGACATACCATTAGTGGATCCTCTAACCTTGACATTTATTGTTATCGTTGTTAAATCTTTACGTTAATATTCCATCTCAAAGTTCTCATCTTCTTCTTCTTCTTCTTCTTCTTATTTTTCTTTTTTATTATTATTATTATTGTTGTTGTTGTTGTTGTTGTATTATTGTTATTTATAATTTGTACAATTAACCTCCCTATGGTTCGACCCCAGTCTTGCCGGGTTATTTATTACTTCGACACTCCTACACTTAGGAGAAGACATCAATCTTTTAGTTGTATCATTGTGCAACTTCCTGTGATGGAGCTGGTGTTCATGGTGGTGTATAGGTTGGGTTTGTTGGTATTCTCGTCGAAGAAGGCAGCTGTGGAAGAGGTGGAGAGAGCTGCAGAAGGCTCACAGGGAAGGAAGGAAAAGGCTGGTTTTTTGTGATGTTTAGACCTGATTTTCTCCTCCTTCAGGCCATCAAATCTACCTCTATTTATAGGCAGTGGAAGAGGACAATCTTATCTACATTGGAGAAAAATTTCAACCCTTGATTCAGATGAAAAGGATCCCAACCGTCAACTCAAAGTAGACATGGCGCACTGTCAAATTGTTAAATTTGCAGCTACAGGCTGCCTGAATTGGCCTCTTTAGGGTGGTGCCACATTCGTTTATTTGCTAGTGAGCCGGTGCCAACCATACCCGAACATAGAGGATGTCTGGTGATCAGTTTTATGCAAGTTTTGGCAAATTTGCTAGACATTAGGTACATTAAATGCAACTGCAAAGTAGGTAACTAGACCAACTATTTCAGAGATTTAAAGAAGAAGATGAATAGTGTCAAAATCCTGTTTTTGGCCAAATTCATTTCAGTCCTTTCTTTTTCAATTACTTTCAATTGAACCCCTAATTGACTCTAAAATTTTACAATTAAGGCCCGGATGAACTTTATCTAGAGCCCCAATGTTACACACCTATTGCGATATCATCCCTAGTCTCAAATTTCTTCAATTTAGCCTATAATTGACCCCTCAAACTTCAATTTTCTTGCAATTTGGCCCATAATTTTGATAAATTAACTAGGTAAAAATTAAATTTGATCTCTTAAAATTCCAATCTTCTTAATTAAGTTAAAATTAGGCCCCTAAACTTAATTTTTCACTAATTAAGCTCTAAATAAAATTAATTTGACCCATTTAAAGTATAATTAATTCCTTGCGCTTAATTAAATCCTTCAATTGGACCCAAATTAATTCTTAAAGATAATTAAAATTCAATTTGACCTATGATTAAATTAAATTAGCTTATTAAAAATTTAATTATGTCCTTTGACTTAATTTTTATGCAAATTCGTCTAATAATCATTTAATTTTGACCTTGAATTTATATTTTTTTTCTCTATTTTTTGGCATACTAGGGGTACAATTAGGCCTTCAATTTCCTCTAAAAATTGCAGCTTGATTCCCCGACCTGCATTCTCCATGTTGCTAGCCTTTATTTTATTTTTTTGATTTTTTATTTTGAAAAAAGATGATTTTAGGGGAATAACCCAGAATTAGGTTATGACAATCATCATCATCATTTATTATTATTATTATTATTATTGTTTTTTATAATTTATATAGTTAATCTTCTTGTGGTTCGACTCTAGTCTTGTCGAGTTATTCATTACTTCGACGCTCCTACACTTGAAAAAAAACATAAATCTTTTGGTCGCCTAAAAGAACAAAAGAAAAGAAGAAGAGAGGAAACAAAAAGAAGGAAGGAACAAGAAGGAAAAAAAGGGGTACCACCACCTACCTTCCTCGTCGGCACCACAAAAACTACTTTGAGCCACCATCAACAACAACACCACTACTATCAGAAATAGATGAAGAAACAGATAAGCGAGGGAACATAAACAAAAAGAATAACTAATGCAAAAATAGAAGAGAAAAAAGGAGGAACCACTGGCTTAATATAAAAAAGAATTTGTGTAGTATGGGTGCTAATTTATTTTTTAGTTACAATCAATTTTTTATTCTTAAAATCTTTAATAAAAGTAATACACTTGAATTTTTTAATAATTTTAAATTAAATAACTAAATAATAACTCTCTTGATCATCCAACACCGCACTTATACATGCAGCATCAATAACAATTATCCAAAATACATGTCACGTATGGTTCCCACATCAAACACGTCATCATACACGTTATACTAGAACAGGAGGGGTTGAATCTGGTCCTGGTTTAATATAAATAAAAAAAAAAAGAAATTAAGCAGTACTGTGTTTAAAAAATAAAACAAAGTTGATGCATAGCATTGAGCTCAATGCTATCAACTTCTACAATCTTATTTTATCAAATCGTTAGCAAACAACAAAAACAAAGTTGATACAGAGCATAAGCAAAGAGTACAATGAATGTGTACGAATAACAGTTTTTATATATTTTTTTAATTGTCTTTTCAAAATAATAGCAAATCATTTTGAAAATGTCATGTATTACCTAAATTCATAATTAATTAAGTAATTAACTGTTCTCTTGCGTCGAAAGTTCTCATTCTTATTTTTGTTAGTTTGATTTCTTTTTCAATTTATTATATACGCAAGTTGAAGTACAATAAGCGGGGTGGTTTTCCCTTGTTGGAAGATCATACATGAATTTGATTGGATTAACAAGGATACATAATTTAATCCAAAAACTTGGTCCTAAATCCAATTGGGCAAGAGCTAAGTAAAACCTGCAAGGAAGAATTCTGTTTCTACAAAATTCAGCTTGCCTGTGCTTGGATACTTAGCTTAAAAGATGAACAGAATATTTGTGTGCTGGAATTTACTCTGTTCTTCCGGGAAACAGGTTAGAGTGAAATAAAAAATTGTTAGTTGACAAAATCTTACGTTTACTGAAGAATTATTATCCAGTGACATCAACGTTCAATCTATATTTCTTTTTGATGGATAGAATCAATCGAAGGACAGCTAATGAACCCTTGAGGAACAGCTAATGAGGCCAAAACCAGCAGGGGAAAAAGAATGGAAAGAGACAAAACCTAAAGCTTACTGAAGGCAGCAACTCTCTGGGTGTATATATGCATTCATCGAGCATCAAATGATCTCTCACAACACAGTGGACTGAAGAAGCTGTGAGACTCTTTTCCTCCATCGACAGAGTACACAATCAGATCCGAAGGAGATGATCACAGAGCCACTCTTGAGCAGCCCGAAGGGTGGCATAAGAGCCTTGTTTTTCATCATAGGTATTTAAAACACTTTCAGCAACATGCATGCTGACGCATATATTATGACCAGCAGGTCACTTGGCAGCTTATATATATTACGATTCAAGTAATGTGGTTTAAATTCATGTTTGGACAGCAAATGAGGCACTGGAGAGGCTAGCAAGTTTTGGGCTATCAACAAATATGATACTGTATTTGACAAGAGAGTATGGTATGGATGCAGCTAGCGGTGCCCAAATACTCTTCCTCTACTCAGCTGCTGGGAATTTCATGCCAATTATTGGGGCTTTTCTTGCTGATACATATGTGGGTCGATACCCGATGATCGGCTTTGGATGTATTGCGAGCCTTCTGGTAACATTATTTCTTTCCAACTTTGCATGCTCCGGCATCATCACTCTTGTCTTTCTATTTTTCTCCCTTCTGTTTGTCACAAAGACAATCATGTGTCTGACCAACGGATCTATGGCTCAGTGTCGATTCTCTCACAAACAAAAGTGGTGATTCCAATTAATTAAGTCCATTGCTAATCTTAAAGGGGAAAAAAAAGACAATTAATCTTGTGTTTTATATACACATATATCTCTTGTGGTTTACTTGTTATTTCTAAACTTTTAAAGATAATATTTTTTATGCTAGAATCATGATTTTGTGGGGTTAGTAGGTAGCAATTGACTAGAATAAAACGTTTTGTTGATATAATTTAGTAATATAAAAAATAGTTAATTTTATTTAAATCACACTAATATTTATTTTATTTTTTTGGAGAATAACGAAATAACAGATGATGCAAAATTCAAAGTTTTTATCTTAGAAATATATAAAAATAATATTATTTATTTTTTAAAAAATCATTTTTAATATTATTACGTTAAAATAATTTTAAATAAAAATTTTAAACACAGTAATATTTTGATTAACGCCGACAGTACAGTATTATTTTGATTAAAGCAGACAGTGATTAATTCTTTTAATATAGCAGGACGAGCGTACAAGCCGATGAAAACAACAATATATTTTATTATTATATTTCTGAATATTTTATAAGTAATGAGATTAAAAAGTCTTATGTATAGGGGATGGTAGTTGAGCACAAATATAAAATGATATATTTTTAGTTGAATTACTAATTCAAGATTTAGTATTAACTTAAAGAAAATTATCCCTTTCGATTTCTTTGTCAATTACATATTTTACAGTTCTCTGAAAGAAAGTTCCAGTTCCAAAAAAGAAAACCCTGAATTTTGGGTCAAACTAAAGTTGTTTGCACTTCTTTAATACGAGGTTGAAGTTCAGAAGAAAAAAAAAATACATTCTCAAGACTTTCAATTATGTTAAAATATTAACTGGAATCAAATAAATGTGCAGGGAATGGTTCTATTGTGGTTGACAACAATAATTCCTGGAGCGAGGGTGCCTTCTTGCGCCCAATTTAGTAGCAATTGCAATAACGACGCCACGACACCACAACTTTTGTTTCTATATTTTTGCTTAGGCCTCATGTCCATCGGAGCTGGTGGCATAAGATCATGCTCCCTGGCATTTGGTGCTGATCAATTGAGCAAGAGGGACAGCCTTAAACATGCTGGAATATTAGAGAGCTTCTTCAGTTGGTACTATGTTACATCCTCAGCTTCTGTATTTATTTCCATGACTTGTATAGTTTACATTCAAGACACCATGGGCTGGAAGGTGGGTTTCGGAGTTCCTGTGGTTCTCATGATCCTGTCAACTCTTTCGTTCTTCTTGGCTTCTCCCATTTATGTCAAACCAAAGGCTAAGGCAAGCTGGCTCATCGGATTTGCTCGAGTTCTCGTGGCCTCCTATAGAAAGAGAAGGATTGAATTATCTTCACTAAACACGGATGAGCTATATCATCATAGGAAGGGATCTGCACTTGTCGTGCCAAGTGAAAGAATAAGGTAATTAACCTACCTGTGAAGCACTTAATAAGGTAATTTTATATATGATAGTTCCTATAAGGATTTCCTTTTGTCTTATCTTGTCTTAGGTTTCTAAACAAAGCTTGTGTTATTAAGAATCCTGGAGAAGACTTGATGCCAGATGGAAGAGCTTCAGATCCATGGACTCTTTGTACAGTAGATCAAGTAGAAGAGCTAAAAGCACTAATAAAGGTAATCCC